TTTCTCTTTCACACACACACACAGACGCGCGCTCACCCGTTACGTTATTGTAACAGATTCATAAAGCATGCTGAGAGAGGTGGAGACGGGTGTACCCCCGTTGAAAATAGAAAGCAGCGCCAAAGCAGGTTCCGGGTTATTAGCGATAATTTCCCCAGCGTGTGTATGTGTGTTGGAAACGAACAAGCAGACAGATTGGCAGGTTCTGCCCCACAATGGTAGGTCTTACAGCACTTGTTTGTTTAGCAATGCATCACAAGCTAGATAAGGTCATGGACGTCCGGACGTGAGTAAACTGTGCAGAAGCAGAAATAGCTCATAACAGTTGGGACAGAATGGTCCAAAGGAGAATGACCAGGGCATCCGGATGACCCCCAACTGTCAGAGGAAAGGCAAGACGGGCATACAGTTAGACTGCTTCTTTTCCTAGCACAATAGGGATTAGGGTTCTGCGCAGATTACTGTAGATTGGGACGGACTGATGTTCAACGTACTGTGATGTTGGTTTCTAGTTAGTTAGTTAATCGATAGGTAATCTTTATTGCATATCCAACAAGTCCATAAGCGCTCAGATCCATCCTCAATATATCTCATAAAAAAAAATTATGGATTACGTCAACGCCACATTACTTTAGCATCAGTATATATGACATACGAGGATAATGATTATTATAGTAGTAGAAGTAGTTGCAGTTTTTGTAGTAGTAGTAGTAGTAGTAGTAGTAGTAGTAGTAGTAGTAGTAGTAGTAGTAGTAGTAGTAGTAGTAGTGATAGTAGTAGTAATAGTAGTAGTAATAGTAGTAGTAGTAGTAGAAGTAGTAGTAGTGGTGGTGGTGGTTGTAGTAGTAGTAGTAGTAGTAGTAGTAGTAGTAGTAGTAGTAGTAGTAGTAGTAGTAGTAGTAGTAGTAGTAGTGATGGTAGTGGTAGTAGTAGTAGTAGTAGTAGTAGTAGTAGTAGTAGTAGTAGTAGTAGTAGTAGTAGTAGTGGTAGTTACGTAGTGGTAGTAGTAGTAGTGGTAGCAGTAGTAGAAGTAGTAGTAGTAGTAGGTGGTAGTGGTAGTAGTAGTGGTAGTGTAGTAGTAGTGGTAGTGTAGTAGTACTAGTAGTAGTAGTAGTAGTAGTAGTAGTAGTAGTCTAAGTGAGATGATGTCGAGGGTGTGTCTACGTTTTTATACGTCAAGTGCTTGTATGCTTGCTTGTGTGTGTAGGTACTAGTACGGAGAATGTGTGTGCTTGTGTGCTTGTGTGTTTGTGTGTGTCAATGTGTTCTGAAGTACAGAGGTGTGTGGATATCTGCATGTATGTAAGGGTTAGTATGCAAACTCCAAATAAACCATGTTTAGACATTCTCTTGAAAGGTCATTGTTTTACGATTATTTTATTGCAAGTATATTATTATATTTATTTAGTATTCTATTATTATAATTAATGTTATTATTATACACATAAACTAGGATTCTATTTGTATCAGTTTTAGTCCTCCCGTATGTAAGAAAACTCTCCTTTAAAGTCTGTGTTCATGCAAAAACATTATTTTAAACGTATATTTTTGTCACGCAGTACATTCATATTAAAATCATTATTATGACTGAATCCTACCCTCCCCCCAACCTTTCCCCAACCCTAAATGTTCTCTTTGTGTCAGCGACTTTATGGCTGTGGTATATAAACTTCTTCCACATACTTTTTTAAAATCAGCGCTAAATGAATGGTGTGATTAATATCACATCGGACTTCTTTACTTCCCACAATGATGTCAGTAAATTGCAGTTAATACAATTAGGCTAACCTGAGAAACAGACTTATGTCAAAATAAGGCTAGCCAGAGAAACAGACTTATGTAAAAATGAGGCTAGCCAGAGAAACAGACTTGTGTAAAACGTGATCGTTGCTGTGGCAATGTGATTCGTGTTTTATGCGACACTCCTACATAAAACACGCATGTTTTGTGCAAAGTTGAAATCGATCGGTGAAGAACGTTCGGAGATTCGCTATCAAAAACAACAACAACAGCAGTTGTAGTAGTAGTAGCAGTAGCAGCAGCAACAGCAGCAGCAGCAGCAGTAGTAGTAGTAGTAGAGGCAGCAGTTGTAGTAGTAGTAGCAGTAGCAGCAGCAGCAGCAGTAGTAGCAGTAGTAGTAGCAGTAGTAGTAGTAGTAGCAGCAGCAGTAGTAGTAGTAGCAGCAGCAGCACCAGCAACAGTATTAGTAGTAGTAGTAGTAGTAGTAGTAGTAGTAGTAGTAGTAGTAGTAGCAGCAGCAGTAGTAGTAGTATTAGCAGCAGCAGAACCAGTAGTAGTAGTAGCAGCAGCAGCAGCAGCAGCAGTAGTAGTAGTAGTAGTAGTAGTAGTAGTAGTAGTAGTAGTAGTAGTAGTAGTAGTAGTAGTAGTAGTAGCACCAGCAACAGTATTAGCAGTAGTACTAGTAATAGCTGCAGCAGCAGTAGTAGTAGTAGTAGTAGTAGTAGTAGTAGTAGTAGTAGTAGTAGTAGTAGCAGCAGCAACAGTAGTAGTAGCAGCAGCAGTAGTAGTAGTAGTAGCAGCATCAGCAGCAACAGTAGTAGTAGTAGTAGTAGCAGCAGCAGCAGCAGTAGTAGTAGTAGTAGTAGTAGTAGTAGTAGTAGTAGTAGTAGTAGTAGTAGTAGTAGTAGTAGCAGCAACAGTAGTAGTAGCAGCAGCAACCGTTTTTGTAGTAGTAGCAGCAACAGCAACAGTAGTAGTAGTAGTAGTAGCAGCAGCAGCAGTAGTAGTAGTAGTATTAGTAGTAGTAGTAGTAGTAGTAGTAGTAGTAGTAGTAGTAGTAGCAGCAACAGTAGTAGTAGCAGCAGCAGTAGTAGTAGTAGATGTTATCATCGTCGTATTTTTTTAACTTCTGCTGGTATTGTTGCTGCTATTTGTGGTTGCTGCAGAGGTCACAGTTGTACTTGCCGTTATAGCTGCATTTATATTTGTAGCAGCAGCAGACTCAATAACCGTGGGCTCAAACCCTTTCCCCCCACCCTCCTCAGAAGCCCTCCATACCCTTCCAAAAATGTGCAAGTGAAACTTAGCTGTCCCTGTTACCATACATGTTATAATATTCACTTGCTATTTAGCACTTTCCTTCCTCTAATCTCCTACGCCTCTGACGGAGGGGAACGAACTCTTTTAAGTGGCTGCCATATCAAGTTAGAGTGCAGCAACTGCGCCTCCATTAGCGTCAGTTTGGGCGGCAAGGCGTTGGCGTCTGATGACGTCACTGAGTATTTTAGGCATGGGTCCGATCTAGGCATGCTGATTTTTCAGTTGTTACTGGTTTTTTTGTTTTTGTTGCTAGTTGTGTAGGAGGTAAAAACACTAATGGATAAATGAAGATAGTGAAGTTGTTTGTTAACTTTTATTATTGGGGGAGGGGGTGTTGTTTTTTGTTTGTTTTGTTATTGGGTACTTTAATTGTACACGACCACGTCTCGTCGGCTTAGCGATCTCTAGGGGTTTACCTGGACAGTACCATATTATAGGGGGGAGAGGGTTAGAGTTAGGGCTAGTGTTACATGAATAGCAGCTACTACTAAGCGTAATCCTAACCTCCCTTTACTATGGGACATTCTGGGTTTTTCCCTATCAAATCTCGAAGCCGACGAGATGTGGTAGTATAACATTAAAGTACCATTGTTGATGTTGTTAATATTATTATAAATGTTACGATGATGTAATAAATTTAACACCACCCCCTTCCCCAATAAAAATAGATACCTGTCTAAAACTGTTTACTTCAACATTGTTATGTAATTAATTTACCACCTCCTTTATTCAATTTATTTTAAATTCAGGTGAAATACTTTACTATTTTACTTAGAACTTACAGAAGACAAAAGTCTGCTGTTGATATCAGAGGATGTCTAGGAATATGGTTTAAGATTAGTTGCGTATCCTTTACAGGACGTTGCAGAACCAAACTTAACAGCCCTTGGCTGTTGTGTGGTTTCTCTAGGCAAATTTATGTCCAGTTGTTTGCCAATGACACTGGACGGTCAGCCCCCTGATACCACTGTCGAAACCAACGCAAGGCGCATGGCCCGCAGCTGGGATCGAACCCGGCACCCCGGCATTACGAAGCGTTCGCATCAACTTAGCCATAGAGCCGATGTCTAGGAATATGTCAACATTTAATACGCAGAGACAGCGTACGTGAAGACAAGCCTTTATAAGGGACGAGCAGCTGCTTCCAAACAAAGAAACAACTAGAGAAAACCCATCAAATACCGCCACCACCGCCTCACCTTTTTTAACCCGCTCCTTATAAGTTTTCTAGGTAGTAGGGGGATAAGGGCCATGAGGTTACTTCTAGCTTGAAGAAATAATAATACTATGGTAAGTGGTAAAAATAAATGTCATAACATATTTGAAATAGTAGGAAAAAATTCTGTGTGTTTTTCGTTGGCACAGGAGCGGAGCAAAGATGGGGTGACCCGTTTGCTGTGAGGCTGAAACTAAGACTACCAGACTACCATGTGTAAAGATAACAATGCTGCGGAACTGCCAAACAACAATCGGTCCACGCCCATTTGATCTGATAACTAAACTGTCGGGAAAACTAAGAGACCTCGATCTAGCATCCCAGTTTGTCATCCAAAGCGGACTAAGTGCATGACCAGAAATCACGTAGGAAGAGGAAATACCATATTCAACACTGACATGAAAAAGTCACCATCTGTTGACACTTCTGTAAACAAGATCAGAAATGGCTGAACTGTTAGTTTCTTTACTGTCCCCTCCTTATGGGTTCCTGGGCTCTTTTCTGGAGAAAGAAAGAACTGACCCACTGTCCCGACCCCACCCCTCCCCCGCAACAAGCATGCCATTAGGGTCGACTGATTAGAATTGTTTCCTTCGAAGTGCATCTGCCTGAGAGACGAGAAACCAACAGTCTGCATACAAGTAAGCCAGATCCGTAAATTGGAAGTGCACGCAAAACTCAAGTTCAGGAATAGGACCACAGTCCAGAAGTGGATGAACCACCATAACTTTCCGTGGTAATTTACAGTCGTTGAACTCTAACAAGAAGAGTTTACCGTACTATGTAGTGGGAAATTATAGTGATCAGCAATGTCAGATGGAAGCTAGGACACACTTACCTTAATGTGACGTTTAGTAGGTGTGGAGCTCCAGTCACTGAGAGGAGGTGCTGGTGGTGGTGGAGGTCCAGGGGGCGGTGGTGGTGGAGGTGCTGCTGCAATAGGTGGCGGCGGTGGTGGTGGAGGTTGATAACTAGGGGTTGAAGCAAAGTTGAGATTTTCCATGGCGTCGCTCACACCTGATGGGTCGTATCCACCTCTATTTCCACTGTAACCATAGCCAGACGACTCCGATCGGGGACTCAAGGGTCCGCTCTGGGGAGAGTAAGGCGACGCGTTGGTTAGGTCTTCCTGTCTGGAGGACTGTCGAGAAAAACTTGCAGGCTTGGCGGGGGTCACTCCATAGTCGTAATATCCAAGGCTGTCGTTGGTGGTTGGTGGGGGAGATTTGTAGTGACCCCGGTTGTAGCTGGACGATGGTGTGTATGGTGCACTCTCGTGAAAGTCCTGATCAAAGCTGACCCGTCGAACCAGGGCTGGAGGAGCAGTGTATCCGGACGAGGATCCTGGGGATAACGGGCTCTGGTAGGATCTCGGTTGGGAACTCGAAAACGCCGCAGGAGGCTCATATGTAGGACTTGCGTTGACTTGTGTTGGCTGGTAAGCTTTCTGTGGAGCCTGGTACTGTGGTGAGTTGTAGGCGTTGTTTGGTGTGTTGTAGGATGGCTTTGAGTAGGGCAGTGTCGAATACGTATTGCTTCCAGGGCCACGGATGTTGGACTGATCGAACTCGTTGCTACTGCTTCCGTACACAGGTGCTTGGTTGTATTGGTTGCTAGAGGGCGTTGTCGGTTCTCTTTTGCTGTACACTGGCGTGGAACTGGGCTGATTTTGTGGACTCAGAGGTCCTGAAGATGGAGGACTGAATGAACGAGGAGCAGAACTGTAGGCTGGCTGGGCAGGTGGCGAGCTGTACGTGTTCTGGAAGGATTGTGGGGCTGTGTTGTTGTATGACTGTTGTGGCTTCTGATAGCTTGGCTGGTAGGGCAGCCCAGTGTTGAACCTGGTATCTCCCTGCTCCCTTGGGCTAAATGAGCTTTGGTTGGAGTCGTACGACCGTGGTTCATACCCAGGAGGCCCACTAGCTCCACCAAATCCATCTCGATCATTGCTAGAAAACCCTGCAGTGTCGCGAGGTGCCGATCTTGGACTAAAAGTGTTGCTCTCTTGTTGTGTATTGTAGGGACGAACGTTGATAGGTCCACCTGGTGAGTCGTGTACCGGCTCCTGGTTTCTGTAAGCGATGGTGTAATCAGGAAAGTTGGGTCCTCCAGCTTCATTATTGTAGAAGTTGTTGTTGGTGGTGTAGCTTTGCTGTGCAGGTTGAACTCTTTGGATCTCTATTCTGGTGGTATTAGCAGCAGGTTGATGTTGCGAGCCATAGTTCCGCGGTGTGGTGGCGTAATTAGGTGTCTCATTCCCACGGCTGTAGCTAACGTTCAGAGGTACTCCAGTCCCAGAACTCCTTGGTGTTGTTACATATCCACTGTTGTCATTGAGCTGAGCTAACATCTGAGTTCCATATCCAGATCTCTCAGGAGATAAGGGTCCTGACGGAGCAGGGGGTCCTTCACCTCTGTAAACATACAAACTATTGTATTAAAAATGCCTCTCTGGAATATCTTGAGCGCTGATTACCATCATCAGACAAAGGGAACATTGGAGGGGAAATGATAAAGACTGAGGCCAAGAAAGAAGCAGTTGGAGAGTATGGAGTCGGGTCATTGTTGATCAGTGGCTGAGTCGTTCGCATCACATCTTAAAGGTAATGAGTTCATTTTACAGACTGCGTCGTTTGGGTAATAAATGTATTCTTTAGTGGGGTCTTCACCGCTGATAAGAACGTTCGTGCTTTGCACGACGCTTTCAACAGACATATAGTCTCTCTGCTAAGTCACAGAGAGAGAGAGAGAGAGAGAGAGAGAGAGAATGAGAGAGAGAGAGAGAGAGAGAGAGAGAGAGAGAGAGAGAGAGAGAGAGAGAGAGAGAGAGAGAGAGAGAGAGAGAGAGAGAGAGAGAGGGAAAGATCAATACGAGATGGAAATTTGTGCAATGAAGGCGACCATTATTACCTGAAACCTTTAAATGTTTGAAATCATTTGTTTAGATGTTGCAGATACTGTTTTCAGTTTAAAACCCGAATTTCAACAGATTAAATGTTATCCTCTTATGAAGTGAAAAAGAAGACCTGGCAATGAAATGAGGACATACATACTTGAAACACAGACAGTACTCACTTTTGTATGGTCAGTTGGAGAATGTTGGTGGCTTGTCTGACCAGCTCCTGGGCGGCGTTGTGTTCCAAGTTGGTTGCCATGACATTACCGACTTTGAGAATCACATCCCCAGGCCCGAGGGCAGCCGCTGCTACACTACCCGGTGTCACCTGGATCAACAGGATTCAAATATACGACGGTTTACATCATTTGTCATCTTATACTTGTTCACAATTCTCTTTCTTCTTCATTATCTTTTTTCTTTATCGCCATGTTCTGCTCCCTGTTGTTGTTTTTGTTGTTGTTGTTGTTGTTCTTCTTCTTCTTCTTCTTCTTCTTCTTCTTTTTCTTTTTCTTCTTCTTCTTCTTCTTCTTCTTCTTCTTCTTCTTCTTCTTCTTCTTCTTCTTCTTCTTCTTCTTCTTCTTCTTCTTCTTCTTCTTCTTCTTCTTCTTCAGGAACAACGGAGCCTTTTTGTCTAGTAGTTCAGATTGTTTGGCTATGCGGGGCAAATTTAGGTTCTGTATTTTATTTTGCTTCTCAATAGTCAATTCTCGATAACATTATCAGTATCGATGCAGGGCGGTCTGCTGCCAAATCACCCCGCAGCATGAATCGAACGATGTATCTCATCATCTAACTAGACAGATGAAAGTCGTAAACTAAAAAGATCGAATTAGACGCAGGTAGTCAGTTTCGTGTTTATATGCGCGTGTGAGTCTGTGTGTGTGTGTGTGTGTGTGTGTGTGTGTGTGTGTGTGTGTGTGTGTGTGTGTGTGTGTGTGTGTGTGTGTGTGTGTGTGAAGAGTTTGGAGACAACTGGGATGTAGTTCTTGACAAGAATGTTGCCAATACCTTGGACTGCCCCAATAATTAGCAAAGATTGCCGGCAAATGGCCTGTGACAGAAGAACGGTGTATGCAACAATGAGAAAAAGACAAAGTTCCTTAGTCATGTGATGAGAAAAGGAGCACTTGAAAATATCGTGACGACTGGAAATATCACTGGTAGCAGAAGCAGAGAAATGATGGTGGATGGCTTAAAACAGTTGCATTGAGGAATATCATCAGTGGAATTGATTCAGAGCACCAAAAAAACCGAGATCTGTGGCAAGACATTTGATGATGATGGCATGTGTCTGTGTCTGCGGACATGTTATAAGAAGCAATAGACTCGAGAACTTCGTAACAACTGGCGAGAGTAATGGCAAGAGAGCGATGAAAAGGTAAAGAGATCAATGTAAAGGCAAAGAGATCAATGGGAAGGCAAATAGGTCAATGGGAAGGCAAAGAGATCAATGGGAAGCAAAGAAATCAATAGGACGGCAAAGAGATCAATGTGAAGCAAAGAGATCAATGGGAAGGCAAAGAGATCAATGGGAAGGCAAAAGATCAATGGGAAGGCATGGAGATCAATGGGAAGGCAAAGAGATCAATGGGGAGGCAAGGAGATCAAAGGGAAGGCAAAGAGATCAACGGGAAGGCAAAGAGATCAATGGGAGGGCAAAGAGATCAATGGGAAGGCAAAGAGATCAATGGGAAGGCAAAGAGATTAATGGGAAGGCAAAGAGATCAATGGGAAGGCAAGGAGATCAAAGGGAACTCAAAGAGATAAATGGGAAGGCAAAAGAGATCAATGTGAAGGCAAAGAGATCAATGGGAAGGCAAGGAGATCAATGGGAAGGCAAGGAGATTAATACCTGGGTAGCTAGGCTTCATGGATAGGGTGAGACGAGAACACTGTCAGATGCGTGATTGTGTGAGATTTCAGAGAAGCACCGCCTATACTTTCTGGGACACCACATGATGGGTGAATTGATGGATGGATCGATGGATGCATAGATGGATGATGGATGCATTGATGGATGCATAAATGGATGATGGATGGATTGATGAATGCATAGATGGATGATGGATGCATTGATGGATGCATAAATGGATGATGGATGGATCGATGGATGCATAGATGGATGATGGATGCATTGATGGATGCATAAATGGATGATGGATGAATTGATGAATGCATAGATGGAAGATAAATGGATTGATGGATGCATAGATGGATGAACTAATAGATGAACTGATGAATGTTGGATGGATTGATGGATGCATAGATGTATGATGAATGGACTGATGGAAGCAAAATTGGAAGATGGATGGATCGATGGATGGGTAGGTGGCTGGATGGATAAATTGATCGATGGATGGATGGGTAGGTAGGTGGGTGGATGGATGGGCTGGGATTTTTTCACATGCACTTGGACTTCTAGTAATTCCCTCTGGTCTCTGGGTAGTGAGATCAAACGCCCGTGTGCATTGTTGCGCACGTTCAAAATCCATTGGCAGCTGGAAATCGAAAAGAGTAGCCTAAAGGCGATGCCCATACAAAAATTTTAAGTAAAAAATCTACCCAAAGTATGTCAGGAACCTCGCCGGTGCTACAGAGCCTGTGCACTGTGTTGAGCTTCTTCGGACTCGGACTTGAGTTAGAAGAAAGACCGAACACTAATATGTTACTACCCGTGTGCCACGATGTTGATCCGTAGTTTAAACCTCAAACCTCATTTAGACCAGGGCTATTCAACCTGTAGCTGGCGGACCGAACCTAGCATGTGGCCCGCGGGCCATTGTCCATGTCATTGAATAAGTGATCTTTCTGCACTGGAGGTCGGGTCTCTGGTCCGTGACGATCCCAGTTTTCAAAATTGTGGCCCCTGAGTAATGGTTGCCGAATAGCACAGGTCAAGATCAGTCAGGGTTAGTTCGACGTTAGTCTCCCCAGGCCCCACCCATATACACCTAGCTCACGTCTGATTGATAGTTCCTGAGCCCCGTGGCCTTCGCACACGGTTACGGGGGTGTTTCGCAATGGCAGAGATATCGCGTGTTGTATATTTCAGTACGCCAGCGCTTTTAAGACTCCAAAAACATAGATATACTGGGTCTAACACAACTTCCCCTAGAGGGTGCTGCTACCTATGTCACAGGCATTCTCTTTCTCGGAATGAAAACGTAAATGCAAGACATCGCTAAAACCAAACAACAGAGCAGGACACACCTTTAACTTTCAGGAAAGTCGAACAGCCCAACGAACTTGCGAATGAACAGTGACCTACTCTATTTGCGGAGACTAACGTCGAACAAACCTCAGTCAGCACTCGATGAATGATACTGACTATGTCAGTAAACTAAACCACGGGAGCCTTTTCCCATCACTGGTGTCTCTAGGACAGGGTGCAATAGTGCGTTTCAAAAGTCTTGCCGTCACACTTTATCAAATATCTCTAAAACTCCTGTACGGATGAATACGAATTCTTGAATGTGGTCTAAGATTTACTCTGTCCTTATAATTGTGTAATTGTAAATTGCACAGGTGCTGCTCTTTTCTTAGAGCGGCGAATTTCTTTAAGCGACGATTGACTAATAATTTTTGAAACCCTAAAAATAGAATATACAGTAATTTACACACGTGTGGAGATTTTCTGGAAATCAGCCCCATGTACAGCGATGTGTGTTGATTGTTTTGATAGCCTATCCCGCAGACAATAAAACGTCTACAACTCACGGAAAGCTAACGTTGGAGATGCTACCTAAGAATAAAACGCCTATGAAATGCTAGCAGTCTGATGTTTTGAAGAGTTGCTGTTACTCAGTTAACTTTATGTATACTATTGTTCATATACCGCAGATAAGGCCAAATCATGAACGTTAGCAAACTAAATGCCAAACTTCTACAACTTACACCAAACGGTTGCTGATTTATATTTGTATATATATATTTTCTTTAACTTGGGCACTACTTTTGGAACTGAATGTAGACCTATACATGTAAAGGACAATCTGCGGTGCTTTAAAAATATCCTACCCCAAACAGGGGAATCCACAGGTCACGAGGCAGTCTAATATTTCAGGCAGGTATATAGGCTGCACGCAGTCGTAGGACTTAGGCTGCATGCAGTCGTGGGACCTAGGCTGCATGCAGTCGTGGGACCTAGGCTGCATGCAGTCGTGGGACCTAGGCTGCATGCACTAGTGGGACCTAGGCTGCATGCACTAGTGGGACCTATCCTGCATGCACTCGTGGGACCTAGGCTGCATGCACTCGTGGGACCTAGGCTGCATGCACTCGTGGGACCTAGGCTGCATGCACTCGTGGGACCTAGGCTGCATGCACTCGTGGGACCTAGGCTGCATGCACTCGTGGGAACTAGGTTGCATGCACTCGTGGGACCTAGGCTTGACTCTCTCGTGGGACGTTGGTGGGTTGGGGTTAGGGTCAGTTCTGGATGTTCTGATGTCGTTAAAAGCATCAGAAAGCGGGAAACCCAGTCTAACCACCCTCTAGAATGATGGACTGTCCTGTGACGTCAGCTAGAGTGGGATATTGTTAAAGCACTCAATCTGCTTTCAGTGGGTGATGTGATCTGCATCCTGTCAGTTGCCTTTACTTCCCAGAACTGTGACCCACTTCAGTCTGGGTCGACTAAGGAACAAGGGCGTTTTTGAAGAAGAAAAACTCCGCAACGGTGGGGATTTGAACCCATTACCTTCTGGCCTGCAGTAAAATTATAGCTGCTACACCACGTGCACTATAAATGATAACTATTTTCAGGATTTCATTAGGGTCAAAGATATAAAATATATACAGTAGAACTTTGCTTAACGAGTACCTCTCATAACGAGTAATTCGCATAACTAGCAAAACAAATTGTAAAAAAAAAAAAAATGACTTGCTTAACGTTTCGCATAACAAGTGGCGAGGAGAGGTGAAGTCCCGCATTGTACGCATGTTTCATCAGTTTGTGTTTAGCACTCGTTCCAGTAGCATCGTTGTGTCGCTTGTGATCACACATTTTCTCAAACTTGTGTTATATTGTGATATATGTACATGAATCCCCCAGGTCTACAAGATGATAACCCTGAAGAATTTAAGTTCATCAAGATCCAGTTTCTACCTCCCAACACCACTCCATTACTCCAGCCCATGGACCAACACGTTGTTTCTAACTTTAAGAAGCTCTACACTAAAGCACACTTCGAGCATTGTTTTCAGGGAACAACCTCACTCTTAAAGAGTTTTGGAAAAATCACTTCCACAACGTTGCCTGCCTCAAGATGATCGACAAGGCTGGGGAATGGGTTGCCAAGAGAAACCTAACTTTTGCTTGGAAGA